ATCAATATTTTAAGGTTGTATATAGTTGTTTTGTAAGTTTATTAATATTTTCAGGAATCAATGTCCATGTCTTCCAGCAGGATAAAGCAGAAATTAGGTCTAAACGTGAAATTATTTTTAGTAAAAGCACTTTGCTGGCGCAGATAGAAATATGTTTCTATGCCTATTCCTGCCCTCTTCACGCATTCTCTTAATTTGGCTTGTTTTGCTTAAGGGTTCTGCAATATGATACCATTTTCTACATGAAAGCTCATTGTATAATACAATAATTTATTATCTCTAAATACAATTTAATGTACCTATACTAATGGAGAAGCAAAAATAGTACAATTTATAAAGTACATTTGTTCAAATAACTTGGCCTCTGATACTTATTTTCTGTAAAAAAAATAATTTATTTTAAAATATTTAGTTATTGTTATGAAACTCTTGACACTCTAAATCTTTGTATTTATAAGCATGCAGCAGTGAAAATTTTTATTGAAATCTTCATGGGTACTGTGCCATGTAGTCTTATAGGTGGTTACAAACTTTTCAGATCAACATATATATATAAGACTACGTTGTGTCAGAACCCAGAAAAAGTCACGTTAAAGAAAGATGTGGTTCATTTAATTTCACTATTGATTTAAATAGTAATACGAATACATTATATTTTTCAAATGAACAGAACTGTATGTACAAATATAAAACATCAAACATTAAGATTAATTTCATCCAGTTTAATGATAATAAACTGCATATAAATGTACACTCTGTTAGCAAATACATTGTTTAATTGAAGTTTGTTTTAGTGTTAGTAGTGTGGCGCATAGATTCAGTCATTTAATGAACAATTTGTGAAGAACAGACATGTATTCTCAGTATAATTTTAATTGTGAGGCCAATTGAGTAATCAGACTTTGTGGTGTAGTGTGTGACACTCCTGCTTTGTATTTGTGATGTTTATTCTTGGTCAGGGGCCAGCAAGCCATCCTGACTCAGAAAGTTTGTGCCTTCTCAGTCCCTCCATTCACTTCATGGGATGGGGCCTTAAATACGTCATGACCATATTCCGTACATTCGCTCACTCGGCATCTGACACCATATAAGTATGCTGTTGGTAAACCACTGATAAACGAACAAAGAAGCATCTGTTAAATTAATCCAGTTCGTTGTGGATTCATTTGGTTTTCCTGTGTGTGTAATATATTCGCACATTTTATAGTGCAGGAATTATACGTGAAGTATCTCATAAATGAAAATGGTGCAAATTTGTTACATTGCTACTGATATATGAGATAGAACCTTTAATATCGAGGGCTGTGCTAGTTGTGTGACCATTTATACTATATATACCTTGAACAGTTTAGCAGAGATTGAGACAGACGACAGATTCCGCACAAACAACATTCAGACTTCACTTATTTCTTCCATTAATGGTTCCCTGTACTTGACTTGTAACTAACTCATAGTGCAGTCCTTTAGAAAGTAAAGGTTGTTCAGGTACTGAAATTCCATGCCTTCTATGGGACCTAAAGTTTCATTTTCTTGTTCCTGAGAGTCCGCCACTGGTCCCTATACTGAGCCAGATGAATCCAGTCCATGGGCTCCACCCTTTTTCATTAATAATTGTTCTGATACAGTTTTTCATCCTTTTTATGCCTTGGTGTTTCAAGTGATTTCTTCCCTTTATGTATTCCAACCAAAATTTTGTATGCATTTCTCAGCACCCTTATGCATGCTACATACCCCAACCATCTCTTTCTTCTTGATGTCATCATCGTAATAATGTTTAGTGAAGAGTACAAATTATGAAGTTTGTCCCTGTACAGTTTTCATCAGCATTCTGTTATGTCACCTTCTTAAGTCAAAATGTTACCCCCAGCACCCCGTTCTCAAACAACTTCAGTCTGTGTTCTGATGTCAATTTGAGAGTTCCATATCCATCGAAAACAACAGTAAATCAAAGTTTTGTATATTTTAATTTTTGAATTATTAGATAGCGTATGGAATTACCAGCGATTCTGAACCGAATTATAGTAGTTTAAACATAATATAAAATTTATGCCATTACAAGCATTTGAAGGTTTAAATACGCGCGGTATTCAGTGTTGGTGTATCCTCTCTTTTTTACTAGCAAACATTGACTTTGTAACTAACCATTAAGATTACTAATATGCAACGTGCAATTCTGCTAACTGCGCATTAGGAGCCAGATCCACTTTTCATCTGTATTTATATTTGACTTTTACAGGTTAAATATTCTAATTAAAATTATCTCAAACTTAAATTGTCTGAACCATTCAGTATTAGATGTATGTGTGTTTTTTGTTGTTGTCAAAAGTAGATTTCTTTGCATCGAAGGTGTGAACGTATTCTGTATCCCACCAGTGTCATAACTGAACTATAATAAGCCCTCGTCAAATGTGGGGATTAGGTCCCTTGAGAATGGTCCATTAGATAAATTTGCATTGAACAAACTTAATACCACATGGGTTACTTAAGTGGGGATAAATGAATGGTGGTACCTTTTTTATGCTTGAAATAATAACACAGTAAATGATTAAAACATAAGACCAATGTGAAATTTACATATGGTATATAAGAATGCGTTAAATGTTATGTTTTATTGTAAAGTACATTATTGCTCGAAAGGATAATTGCACAACAGCAAAAAATGGCAAAAAATATTCGCACATGATGTAACTGTTGTTACCATGGTAACAGCATAAGTGAGACTGAGACAGACGGAGGGAAATACGAAAGAGAATTGCCAGAACGTTGGAAAGATGAAGATAAAATATTAGTGTGTGTGTTGGCCACATCTGAGATGAGATTGTCTAATAAAGAAAGTGTTTGATTTATATTCGTAACGGAAGGAACTGTCTTTAAAATTGTACATAAACAGAGATGGTATTACAATAATTCTTGCGTAGTGTGTTATGGGATTTGATAAGTTTAGAACCGATTCTCAGTCTCACAAGCAAGCATACATCCTTGGTTTTATATTCCCTTGTCATTAAAGTACAAATTTGAATTTTACAATGGCCCTAGACCCTCAGAGACACTTTCTTCCTAATGGACCCATTATACAGTTAATTATTCATACGCAGAGTTTTTTCAGTACCACCACATTGATTTTTATGCTTTTAAAATACTAGTATATTCCTGGTATCTTACATTATATTGATTCTAGTATTTCCTGCAAATAAATGTCACAACTGTGCATTCAACGTATTTCTATCATCGAGCTGCTGTTCATTTAAAAAATTTTTTTTGTGGGGGAACCAACAAATCCGTTTTTCTTCGAATGCTTAATTCTGAGTATAGCGTCCATCAAGTATTTTAATTATAAAAAGAATAGTCAAAAAATGTGTACGGAATTTCTACATGTGTAGACTTCCAGTGACATAACATGTTCTCAAACATGTCAATAGTTCCCATTGTCGCCATTTTGGTTACTTTATATATATATTTATATATGGAACATCAGGCATACTTGTTGCCAAATTAAATATGACTGCTCTAATGGTTCATAAGTATTCTTAAAATATTATTAATAAATAATCTCACGTTCACCAATTTTTCATTACCAGTCTTGCTAAAAAAAAATTATATTCCAAAAATATATCTTTATAAAAATTTCTGGATTTCACATTGAATATGACATATTACTCACGCTTTTTCACAATATTTCATTTGCAGTTCTTTGCCATTCTGCCATCTCTTCTTGGGGTCATCTGTTACCTGGTTGAACCATCGTATTCTCGGTTGTTCCATGTGTCATTTTCCTTTGAACTGTAATTTGAATGCCCTTTTTGGTATCCATATCCATTCTGTTGAAACATCCAAACTATTACAATCATTTATCTTCTGATTCTTTTAACAAATTTTGAATTAAAAACAATATCAAAATTAGTATTTTCTATATTTTTCACCAGCACATGTTCTTGTCTCTGTCTTTAATTTTTAATCATTTCACTAACAATAACAAATCTGTTATACTTCTATACACACATATATGCATGTGCTCATATGCATATATCACGCTGATTTATTTTTAATTAAATGTTTGAATGTCAGAGGTTACTTGGCATCAAATAACATGGGAAAAGGAACATTAAATGTAAGTAGATAAGGATTTAGAAGGAGGTGGTCATGTCCTTTTCAAAGGAACTATTGCAGTATTTGACTGGAGAGACTGGGAGAAACCATAAGAAATCTGTCATTAACCTGGTCAATATTAAAAGTGTTATCTCCCAAATAAAAGTATTGTGTGTTACGGGTACATCAGTCTGTTTAGTCGTACAGAGTGTAACATTTGAATTATCAACAAAGTGATTATAAATTCTTAAGACACCGTGAGTTCTCATAAATGGTATCATGTATATTAAATATAGGTAGGTATTTTGTTTTAATGTTTTGATATAGAATGTAAATCAAACAGGTAGGAGGTCACAAGACCTGTATTCAGCTTGTTTTGTTAATTTGCTTTGCACGATAAATTCATTATGTAATACAAATTTGTTATTATCAATAAATTATAACAACTTATTATTTACATACTAATAGTTTGTTAACGGGCTTAAAAATACAGTTTCATTGTTTTTCAGTATCTCTGGGTTTATGTTTTGTTTATAAAATACAGTCCTTACAATTTGGAGGCTGGGACTTTCATATTATTAATGTAAAAATGTATATCAAATTTTAAGTTGATAAAATTCAGGAAATTAATGTATAGTAATTTATGTAATAAATATGTTTAAAATATTGAGTTTGATTTAATCACATAAATTAATATGAATGAACATGTTTCAAAGTAATGATAATAAAGTTAAAGCAAGTATATTGCTGTTTTACAGACCTTAAACGCATGTTTTGGTGTCATTTTCAAGTTTGTAGCTTATATAATCTTATTAATTCTGTTACAGGCATTAATTTAAAAAGTGTTTAAGATGCTCAGAATTTTATTGCTGCTAATTGTAACAATGTTTATACACACTTTTTTGTGTTTTCAGATATTTGTGCGTGCTCAGTTTGATTATGACCCCTTGGACGATGACTTGATCCCTTGTGCACAAGCTGGCATTGCTTTCAAAACTGGAGACATTCTCCAAGTAAGTAAATTTAGACACACATTTCTTTTTTAAATTACTGTGTCAGTTTTCATTAAAATTTAATTTACTTTTGATTTTGTAAATCAACACTGGGCGATTTTATGGTAATTTTAATGTGTTTGAAATGCTAAAGCAAGGTAACATTGAATTTTTTTTACTGCATATGAAGGATCTATTAGATGTAGACAGGAATAATATTAAAGTGAATCTTAACAAATTAGGGTGTGAGATGGGCAGGGCATGTAGCATGTATGAAGCATATAAAATTTTAGTCTAGAAAACCTAAGTCTAAGAACCACTTACGAGACCTAGATATAGAAGGGGATAATATTAAAATATATTTTTTTAAAAAGTCAGTCTGTCAAGGGTTGTTCCCAACTGAATGAATGTTTTACCTCACCGAGCATTTCTTCTATAATTTTTTTGTATTTTTATTAAACACCAAAAACAGAAATTAAGTACAATTTTGACTTTTAAAGTTATTGTTTGCATAAATGTCAGTGAAAACTTCCTGGCAACTAGTGAAAGTTATTTTTCAGTCATTATTTGTTTGTGTAGATAATCAGTAAAGACGACCATAACTGGTGGCAGGCGAGAAAAGACAATGCTGCGGGCTCAGCTGGTCTTATTCCCTCCCCTGAACTTCAGGAATGGCGGACTGCTTGCATGGCGATGGAGAAGAGCAAGCAGGAACAAGGTTTGTAATCTTTTATGAGAAAAAATAATTTTTCCTTACGTAAGTTAAATTGACTGAAGCGTCGTTTTCTATCGACAATTTAGTATTTATTCGGGTAAATGAATTGGTTTACGAGTTGTGATTTTTTTTTTGTGTTAAGGATTTTCTATGTGACTGATAACTACAGGTATTTGGGCATGCATAAAGCCTGTGCTCACTGTTAAATATTTTGTGGATTCTGCATGTTAATAGGACAGATTTAATGCCAATGAATTAGATTTTGTTCTTTTTTGTAGTTTCTTATTTACATATTTTAAATATACAGCGTACCAAAGTTCAGAATTAAAAGCAAATTTAGAAGGTAAATTATGGAATATGTAAAAATATAAGGAATATCACATTACTGCCTCATTAAAACGTACTTCATGATTTGCATATTGCTTCTGCAAAGTTTGTCGTTGTGAGAACATAAATCGTAAGTTACCAAGTTCCAGCAGATCATACCTGTACTTGTTATATTTGTTATGCAGGATATATTTTGATTCACAGTAAAGTGAATGGCCCCTTTTTTAGGTTAATGTGTTCTTCTGAACATATTTTACACGGGGTACGAAAGTTTTTCCGTGTACTTTTTTCATGAATTTTAGAATCTTACGTGTTCATGGAAGTGTAATCTGTTCCCCTAACCTTGCATTAAAGAATTATCTTTTACAATTAATTCAACATAAAAAAACTCTTAAATATTTAATCATTACTTTACCAAATCCTGAATTGTAATTTTCAGAAAATACTGTAGTAATTTGTAATTACTTCCACGAGCTCTGATTTCAGCTGCATGTGCTGAATATTTAGTGATTTTAAATCAGCTGTTTTTAATATTGTAATTAATGGAAGGAATATATGTTAAAATGTGTATCAGACTATCTTAAGTGTGTACGTGACAAAATAACAAGCAGTACAATCATAATATCCAAAATTGATATTCCCTGTGAATAGGTACATCTGCTTTTGATAAAATTAAATCCATTTACGTCTGGTTAATGTAATTTGCATTGTAATTACAGTTGTAATGTGGAGTTTTGTATGTAGCTCAGTCAGTATAGTGACTGGCTACAGACTGGACGACCGGGGTTCGATCCCCGACGGGGGCAGATGATTTTTCCTGTACCCTCTGCGTGCACACCAGTTCTGGGGCCCTCCCAGCCTCCTGTCCGATGGGTACCAGGGTCCTTTCTCGGGGGTAAAGTGGCTGGGGGGTGATGCTGACCACTCACCCCCTTCTAGTGCTGAGGTTAAGAATGAGTAGGAGCTATACTACCTCTCCCCCCAAGTGCCTACATGGCGTATAGTGGGACAGCTTTACTTTACTTTTATATCTTGCACATACAAAGTTTTTATTACAATTTTGGAGACACTGGTGATTGTGGTTTAAATATTGTTTTATGATGAGTATGCACATTCTTTATGGTCACAGTTTGGTAGTGAATTATCTTCTGCACTGTCAGGAATTTGTTGATAGAACATCGTAAGTTTCCATTTGCAGTGTATGTTTTTTCTTCTGTTGTCTGCATTTCACAAAATATCCCCTATTAATTATGAATGAAGTGACTTCCTGTGAGGTGAATGTTCATGTGTTCATATATCCGTTCATGTTTGTCAACTACAAAGAATTACATTAAAACAATAATTTTTATGTGCATTTTCCAGATACACAAAATACTTTTTCAGCACTGTGTTAATATACTTGTGTGTGTCATTTTGTTAATATGCACTTTCATCTATACGAAGAACTATCTTGTGTTTATGGAAGCACTTATGGATTCCAACACTTCAACCACATTAATGGTTTGAGGTTTCCACGGCAGTGTGAATATAGATGGCATTCTCTGGGTGGTTGTGCCCACGTAGCATTTTGACTGGTGCCAGTGTTTTGAAGGATTCTGGGCATCAAAATCGAGGCAGCGTTTTGAAGGATTCTGGGCATCAAAATCAAGGCGGTAAGTTCCTCAGAAATGTTGCCACACAGTCAAAATTCTACGTGGTAGAACACAAACTAGGAAGGCTACCATTTATAACTCCAGCTACGTGGTTGAACTGGACTGGTTTGTCTTTTTGATTGTTGGTATGCCTGTAGATGGGGACACAGACGGTGGATGCACGTCTCATAAAGATGGATGTGATGGAACAACAGGTATGGGGCATGCTTCAGTTTGTATGCTGGATCATCACTTCTGCATTTTCTTAATTTAGAATGGATGTTCTGACATTCTGCAGGATGATTTGGTCATTCTAATTCTTATAATGAACTACAGAAATGTCATGCTTAATTAGTTTTTATTTATTTATTTATTTATTTTACTTTTGCAGCAAGGAAGATGTGCCTTAATGTTCCCTGTATCTCTTGTTTGCCTGCTGGATGGCAAAGAGATTGTAGGTTGCACATGACTTATGAAATAATTCATTATCATTGTAATTACTTTCTTTTGCCTGATAACAAAACTTTCAGCAAGGTGTTCTAGTGGGAAATCGTTAACAATCTGAAACCAGACACGTGATAAACAGACTCGAGCAAAGCAATGAATTACTTCCAGGAATATATTTATGTAATATAATTACTGTAATGATGTTTTAAATTATGGATTTAATGAGCAACATGTTCATTCTTCATTAGGGACAACAATCTGTTATTTATTCTAATTTTCAGTATTGGTTTATCTATTAACAAATAATTTATAATTATGAATGGTGATACTGACATCCTCACATGAATATCTTCAGAACGCAATAAAACAATCATCTATAAAAATATTACATATTTGCTTCAGCATAAGCATATTTATTAAATTTTGGTCCAGTTTTTTCACGTCAGTTTTCATTGTAAAAAACAAAACTAAGTCGATGGAACAGAGTCGTCCTTGAGAAGATGATAATCATTCAGCCAGTAACAAATTTTCCTGTCTTATGGAACCCAGAGGTTCATTACCTTGTACACAAGAGCCTTCCATTGGTCCCTGGCCTGAGGTACATGGACCCAGCCCACATCCTCAACTTAAGATGCAGTTTAATAGAAAATGCCTATCTGTGCCAAGGATTTCTGATCATGCTTTTCAACCAAAATTATATACACATTTCTAATATGTTCCTTGCATGCTGCATTCCCTGCTCATCTTTTTCTTCTTTACGTGGTCCTCCTAAAAACGTTTGGTGTAGAGTATAAATTACGAAGCTTCTCACAAAATAATTTTCTTCCGCCTCTCATCACTTCAGCTCTGTTACGTCCAAATATTCTTCTCAGCGCTCTCGTCTCAAATACCCTCAATGTTTTTTTTTCTCCCTCTTTATGTTGAATGATGGTTGTTGCATAATATAAATAATACAATAAATTGTATAGATGGAAATCAGTGCTGTTTATTCAGTGTAAAAGACAATGGCCAATATAAAGTTCATAATTTGTACTCACGAGATATAATTAGGATGATCGAGTGAAGGAGTGTGATATGGGCACGATATACTGCATGCGCTGTGAGAGATCAAACGTGCATGCAATTTTTGTTTCAGACAATGAAAGGAAGAGACCACTTGAAAGACCTAGGTGTAGGTTGGAGGATGATATTAAAATGAATCTTAAACAAATAGGATGTGTAAGGATATGGACCGAAATATTTCAGCTCATTTAGAGTTTAGCGATGGGCTGATGTTGACACGCCAATGAACCTAATGGCATTATGAAAGGTAGGGTATTTTGTTCACTAGATGAGTGACTGTCAGCTTTCTTCTGCTCCATGGAGGTAGTTATCAGTAAGGTTTCTGAACTTAATTTACTTTATTCTAAAATTTCAGCCCCACTGAAACTGGATGAAATAAAAATAAAACATAATTGACTTTCAACTCTGTAAGTTATGTAGCTTTGTACTGGGAGGCAATTGCGCAAATAATGAATTAGGAAGGGTGCGACTTCTTTTAAGGTAATGTCTCAATCGTTTGACAGCAGGAGTATCACTGCAACCTGATCAAGATATTCAGTGAAAGTGGTGATAAACTGCATCTTTATATCTTTCTCTTGTCTTGAGTAGGACGCAGAAGTCATCTGAAGTGGGCTTACTAATATTGATCATGTAATTAATATAAGAGGTTGCGAGCAACGTATATTTAATTGAAGTTATGAAAAAAAGCGAGCAACGTATATTTAATTGAAGTTACGAAAACGTTTTTCAGGTATGTTGTCAGAATTACTGTTACTGGGTTTCTGAAATTGTCCGTTGTTATGGCATTCTGAAACATTATATACATAATTTTTTTTTAAATATTTAGAAACGTGCGTAGGTTAGTGACCAACGTACTTTAAGTTTGCTGATATGGAAGCTGGTTTCCCAGTATTCCTCGTCTTCATAATTCCAAAATATTTCATAATATAATGTGTGTGTGACTTGTATTTAATATAGTATAGTTATTATTCTGTGCTACATGTTTATACTGTGAAATTCACAGGTATAATTAATTTACTAGGGGAAGGGTATATTGCGAAGAATAGGACGTAAAATGTCAATATTATTCCCACATAAGTTATGTCTCATTATAGAGACACTTGCCACTGTCGCCTCTAAATACTATGAGCGTAACTCAGAATTATATAATAGTTAAGTCATTTCCAATCTGTGTTCTGCTCATTTATTTTGTGTTGCACAAATACATTTTTGTAATGTCGTATCACTCTTTATGGCGATAAAATAGCAATTCTTATGTAATTTTAAGTTACGTTATAAATTGTCTGCAGTAGCTCACAAGTAAAATAATACCAACAGTACTACTTGGCAAATATTTTAAAATGGACGAAGAGAGTGAGGTTGACCACAGAAGAGGTGAAGGGATCAGTTTTACTAACCCAGAGGTCAGAACTGGTCAGAAAGCTTAAACATTGTTGGTGACGCTGATGTCAAAATATGATTACATTTAAATCCTGCCATATTATAGTACCAAATTGTAATATTCATCTTGGATCTCAAAATTGGTTTAACCTCTGTTGTATGGGAATATAAACTCCCCATTTTATGAGGCTGGCAGCTGGACTTAACTACAGTGTTAATGGTTATTAATACATATTCGTATATGTTACAAGTACAAGAGTAGCTTTAAAATTATCAGTCTAGTACTTTAGGACCCTAACATGGATCATATCAAATTCTGTGTGGTGATAGAATAGTGTAGTGCATAGCGTCTTGGTCTGAATAAGAAACTTTTGCGTTAAGCCAGTTGAATTAGTTATTTTGAATCTGCTTTTTTATTATCATCATAAATTAGACATTTCAGTGCCTCTGCTGCCCTCAAAATATCTCTTGTGTTTTATTATAATCTTATAATTATTGCAAATTTTCAGGTAACGGAAAAGTATGTTGCTCTGCACAGAGATTAATGTGTCTGATTGGGATGTTTGTATGATGCTACTGCATGGCAGTATTCAAGCTTATTAAAAATTATATGATTAAGACAGGTTGTACATTTGTGTGCAGATTAGTGTTATCTATTAATGTAAAATGGTGCATGAACAGGTGGATGGAATAATTCTTGTATTTCGGTATGACAATATTTCAAGTTACATTGAGCGTTCGTAAATTGTTTGTTCTGCCCATACAAATAGCAGCATGACATGCTACATGAATGCATGCGCACACATACACAAAATTGTGTATGACATGACAGGAAATATGTGAGTCTTGTGGGTTGTTGTGCGGTATAATAACCGTGTACGTGGGTACTGATGTTTCGGAGAAACATTACAGAAGCCGCACCTACAGTGCGTCAAAGTTATGGTGCATTTCTTAAGTTTCATTATTTTTTTGACAATTAATGATAGAAACATGAATGAATCTTCAAACTGAAAGTGTAACTGTAATGTTACTAAAATTTAGTCTGGGGCCGCTTCATGCTTCTAATCAGTATTTCAATTCTTCCCACATATTGAGAACATGTGGAATTATGGATTCAGAAATGTGTTTGATTCTTTGCTTCTAATGTTCTGTACCACTGAGATTTTTCTCTAACAAACAAGAAGTGAATTGGTGAGATGTCGGGTTCTCACAGCAGTGACTATGAAGATGACTGTCTTTTGGGATGTTGCACTGTACAGTATGGTAGAAATTTCCATACATATCAGAGGTGCTGCTGCCTCCATCAGGGTGATAAGTGCTGTCGATGGAATCAGCAGGCACATCTGAAACATCAGTAAATTTCTACCGGACTACACAACGCAACATCCCAGAAGGTAGTAATCTTCAAAAAGTTATTTATTTCCATAAAAGTACTCATATTTCAGGGAACCTTTCATATTTAATATAGTGCACATCGGACCTGTCATAGTTATTCTTTAAGGGGTGTGACTGATGAACCCTTTTGAAAGTGTCTCAGAATGAAATAATTTAAAAGAAAGGGTAAAGTTATGTTAGGTTTATTACAAAGTCGTGCTTTAACGCCTGCGCTTTCAGGTGGTAGTAATTGTTCTTCCAGAACATGCTATGAGCTCTGTCAGTAATTAAGGACATACGCAGCTGGCTAACATTCTATAAACAGGAAAGATTTCATTATGTCTGGGCAACTGTTTTGAATACCTTCCGATACATAGTCATTTCATGAGTCAACTGCTGTCCTGTGGCCACTCCTCAGTAAACATGTATATAATTATATATTTGTTTTGCGAAATATATCATAATTACACTTGCATGGGGTAATATTAATGTTTCTGCTAGCTCCCTGTTTGTGTACAGAATGAACATCTATAAGAATTTCTAGGCATTTGAAATTTCAGCTGTTTTATACTGTAACATACATAATCATTATTATTAAATTGCACTGACGCATGGTTCTTACAATATTTGAAACTCGGTGCAAGTGAGTATGCTATTTAAGTGCTGGTATGGATGGTAGAGTGAGCTCAAAACATGCTGTTATATTACAGGATTGGACAAAACAAAATTTGGCAGCATTGTATTTTGGTTAAATTTCTAAAAAAGCCTTTGTATTCACATCTTTCTGTTATACTTTATAGAAATCCTCATTGCTGTAATGTAGCATAAAACTTGGTGGCCATTGAGGCCAATAAATTTGCCTCTCCTGTTCTATTATGGTATTTGCTTCAAATGTGATGTGCGTTGCTTCAGAAGTGTGACCAGTGAAGCTGACGTTCATTGTTTCAGCTTTTCTGACATAAACTGATAATCTTAAATGAAAATAGACACAGTTCACTTAACAAATGGATGCCTTATGAATTTACATCATAATTGAAACAAAGTGTTTCAGTTATTTGAATGCTGTTTCTATTTTGATCTGCTGGAACTTCATTTTTAATTTTGAGCTGCTTTTTATCACATTTATTCTTCGTTTTATCTTGTCAGTTACTCTGTAGTATTGCTGACTTTGCTATGTAAGAAACTGGGTCTCTTTTTGATGGAAGGGGTGGGGGGGGACGAGTAAGTAGTGCACTAGTGATGTAGTACACCAATTCAACAAACATTTTATTTTTATTAATGTAAATATGCAAGTGTACTCAAGCCTATTTATTATTTTTGCAGAAAATTTTGGCATTTATATATCAGATAAGTTAAATTAACTTAAATGTTGAGTTAGTACACTGTTGCTCTAATCTGTTCAGTTGTATATCATCATTGCATTGCAGCTGTCTCATTCTGTAGTATCAGTAAGTTTTCTTATGTTAAACAAAGCATGTACTCTCTTTTGTAGAAGATATATAATGTGTATTGTCTGAATAATACATTAATCACTAAACTGTCTTTTACAAACCAGTATTAGATAAAGTGATTCCAAATGCTGCCAAATTTTATATTAAAAATTTCAACAACTGTGTTAGTGCACATGAAGGAATGGTGAGTCTAGATATTAACTATTCTGTAGGACACTTGAACAAAAATTATGCTGCCCGACCTGAATAAATAATGTTTTGACACAACTTTATTTTTAATATGTATAAGTATCTTGTTAAATATTTAGAAGTGGTCAGGGCGTTTGTAGAGTTTGCGCTTTACATGTGTGTGTTTGTGCACGCGGGCACACGTATGTCACCTCACCTCACCTCTTGATGATCCACATACTTTGCACTTCCCAAGTCTGTGGATTAACCATAGTAAATTCATGAAGAAAAATCTTATGATAATGTATGGATCTTTTATGTACATCCTCATGTTGCTTAAAATTCTTTCTTTAGGAATAATTAATAATTGCAGATGCAGATAATCCAGTTAATATTTATTTGAAATGGGACCTAGATTGAAAAAAAAAAGAAACTAAATGTAAAAACATTTTCCTTAATTCATATATAAAGAATTCATAGATTGAATATAGAAGAATAATTTCTCATTTATAAGAGAAAGGTGTTTCCATAATGCAGTGCATATTGGTTATAATGTGACAAAAATAAAGAAATACAGAGAAGGAAGTATCAACATTTTGGTGTGGTTTAATATTCTAACTTGGCATGGTTTTTAATTGAAAAGAGTGCGCAAGATGGTGTGATACCATCTGAAATTGCTCCACCTAACCCCTTAATTCCAGTTGAACCAACAGTTTCCATAAAGTGTTTTCCAGGAGTGCAACTGTCATATTATAGGAGAAACAGCTGTTCTAATTTTAAAAAAAAATATTTTGTTAGTGCCTAGAATTGAGAATTAGCTTCATTATCCTCTTTCATTCACAATTTCATTAAACTTAGCCACGGTGTAATGCTATCCTCGTGGTCCGTTGTTTGTGATCACGTTATATGTAATATGTCTTCTAAGGTTCTTGGTTTACAGTGGTTTATCAGCTGTTTCGCTATGTAGTGTTCAGCACTAAGGTTATTTTCAGTAATAACCTGGAAGGGATGTAAAGGGAAATAGCTGTGCAGGTGTGCTAACCATGGTGTCGCAATGTTTGGTAGACCTCATTAAAACAAGTATTAAAATAGGTTAGCACTGTAAAAATATCTTTGCTGTTTCGAATATATTTCAATCCACAATAGGCCAGTTGAATTTTGAAATTATAAAGTTAATTTGGGAGAGAAAACAACACAGACATGTGTAAATTTTTCTTTCATGTATAAAATTATTATGTAGAGGTTTCATTATGTTTTGTTAATATTTTTTTAAAATATTCAGCTGTTGAATGTCAAAATTCACTTGATACAGACATGAAAATAGGTGTGATATATAGAACAAATGATTTAGTAGGAGATGTGGGAAGTGGTAACAGTGTATTTCTCATCAATGGGCATCTATTCATTAATTTTTTATACTTTCATAAAAAACTCACTAGTCAAAGAGCATCTATGTTATTAACAAAATTCAATTTTATGTTTTAAAAAGCCTAATGCTCCCTGGTAAAATGTCAACAATAAAGATAATATTTATTGAAGGAACAGCAATGTCTGTTCCTTTTGACCTGTATAGGTCAGCTTATAAGTGGGTCACTAGATTTAATTATGAAAATTTTCAGGTGAGAATATTTTTTGTTCCAGGATGCCATATTCCATGTTCATCATTAATGGCTTGATACTTATTTCTGTGTCATTTTGTTTGTTTACAGTAAATTGCTCAATCTTTGGACGCAAGAAGAAACAGTACAAGGATAAATACTTGGCAAAGCACAATGCAGTTTTTGACCAATTAGATTTAGTTACGTATGAAGAAGTTGTCAAACTGCCATGTAAGTTTACTATATAATTTTTATTGATATCCATTGTTTTATCAACATACGTTCATTTGTCAATTCTGTTATTTAGAATAGGAAACTTCAAATTTTATAATTACATGTGCTAATTGAATTATTTTAAAATACCTGTTAACTGTGTCACGGGTTCATAGTGTTTAGGATAAAGGAAAACAATATACTTTATTCGCATGACATGTTTTCTCATCAAGGAGATGTTAGCATTCAGGAAAACATAACAAATATCACACCATGTTTGCTATCTGTGAATGCAGTAGTCTCAGGAGAGTGAAAGTCAAGTTAAAACATTTTCAACGTTCTGAACCACCTGTAGTTGTCTTTGGAAATTATGCACTACTCCGGCCAGAATGTGTTAATTGACATTGATCACAGCTGATGACATTTCTTGATTTGGTTCCGGAATTGTGTGTGAGTTGTTTCTGCCTGCAGTTTCTTATTGCTTTGGTTTCAGATTAAAACATTTGTATTTATGAAGCTCGTGGTATTTAATTGAAGCATCTATCTGCTAACACTTTTGGGGGTAGTTTACTATTGTTTATTTTCATTATTCACCTGACAGCTGTATTGTTCTATAAAATTAAAATTTGAACCTCATTTTTGCCTGCAGCAGGAACTACTGTGGGTTCTGTCATTGCTCAGAACTGTGGAATTTTCTGTATTTGTGTTTGTCTGTAATGTCATGCTTGCAGTATGTTCACCCTTCCCTCATCATGTCACTAGATCTGAGTTATAAAAAAGTTGTCATACTTCACCTGCCCTCTTCTTTTTCTCAACATATCAGACAGAGCAAGACTAACTGTGTTTATGTAATCAATAGTGTCTGATCCAGCATTCCAGAGGAAGACCTTGGTGCTTTTAGGAGCTCATGGAGTTGGCAGAAGACACATCAAAAATACACTTATAGCAAAAAACCCTGACAAGTATGCATACCCCATCCCACGTAAGTACATTTAATTAATTTAAAAAGTAGCAATACTAAGTTTATTCATATCTAATTTATATGCGTAGAGAAGATCTGTTGTAATGGTCACATGATGGTGCAATACTAAGTTTATTCATATCTAATTCATATGCGTAGAGAAGATGTGTTGTAATGGTTAATATCAGTGTTTTCAGGCAAAGAAAAAACAAACATACTTTTTGGATTTTGGGCTGTAGTGTGAAGCTTACCAATATTTTGGGAGAATGTTCTTCAGTCTTCAGGGTAATTGTGAAAATATTACTCAAAAATGCTAGTAACTATATTTAAGACCACATGACACCATAACCCAGATAACCAGAATCATCACAAAACTCCGAAATATATGGTTTGGTGTTGGTGGTTGAAATTTTTAGCAATGAAAGGGTTGATTACAAAGGTGTCTAGAAAGGTTGCAAAGTAATTTTGTATTGGATATATCGTAACTAAATGGTCCCTTGAAGATTGCAGTCTTCTGGGTTGTTGCGCCGTGTAGTCTGGTAGAAATCCACGGCGCAACAACCCAGAAGACAGCAATCATCAGAGTCACCGCTGTGAAAATCTCAAATCCTAAATGGTACCTTATCCCCCCTTTATGGCAACATGACAGTCAGTTTTCTCTTCATTAATAATTGCTTTGAAAAGAAATATTTTAAATCAAATAAGGAGCAAATAGGAGCAGACATACTCTGATAGGTTCTCTTTTATCATTCTCATTGCAAGGCTTCAAGAAGAATTATTGCAAGTTAATAAAACAGAAAGAGAAGGGAATTGTTTAAAATTAAACATAGAAGGATTTGAGGTTCGGCGCCGTCTTCAGAATTAAACATATTGCGTTCTAGAATGTCATTTACAAGAACAGCGAATGATTATTTTGAATCTTGTGAGAAGTCCAACTTCCCTTTCTGCAATTTTGTTAATTTTATGCCAAGTATTTAATGGTTTGACACAGTACATTCAATTAATATTGTTTCAGATACAACGAGACCACCGCGAAATGACGAAGAAAATGGTGGGAACTACTATTTTGTATCACACGATGAAATGATGGCTGATATTGCGGCAAATGAATATTTGGAATATGGTATGTAGTTTTTAATTCAGTGTGATTGGTACACAACAAGATAAATCTTTTCTAACAATTAAATATATATTCACCTGTGGAATTATGCTAGAGTACGATATTTGAACAGTAATCCTGAATATTGAGATGATCCATTTATCCGAAATGTTTGTAATTGCCCCCAAGACCACATGATGTCACAACCAAGAAACCGCTAGTGACATATTTAAACATTGTTTATATTTATGTAGTGCATATAAAAGTATGATTTCTGTCTGGGCAGGAACACATGAAGATGCTATGTATGGTACAAAGCTGGAGACAATCAGAAAAATTCACCAGGAGGGACGGATGGCCATTTTGGATGTGGAACCTCAAGCGCTTAAAGTGTTACGGACAGCAGAATTTGCACCTTACGTTGTGTTCATTGCTGCACCTGTGCTGCAGAACCTAGCAGATGTAAGAGCAATTACACTAGTTTGTCAGTTTGTAAATAAATTTATGATATCCTTCCATCTTGACAATCTTGAAATATAAATTAGTAAATTTCTGTTTTCAGGTAAGGACAGTGGTCTTTGCTTTCAGGAAAGAACTGTTCCATTGTCCTTGGGAGGAACTAAAAATAATAAAATTCATCATTGGTATTAAACAACCCATATCAGAAACAAGCTCAAAGTCCTTTTACCTTTCTGTTACTATCTAAAGAGATAACAATTAAAGTACACAAATTATACTTTTATGTGTTGCTCTGTATGATGATGAAAACTTAATTAGTCATTCGAAGGTTACAGGCATAGATTATCATCAGATTATCCAAGAAATTTATAAGATACCAACATTTTAGAAGCTTGTTACATGTAGATATTTCCTCCTCCTTCTTTTTTTTTTACATTCTTCTATAGGACAAATCCACCGTTCCTTCTTGAAGTTATTCATGTCCTCTTGCATTCAATCAGTCAGTTTATTATTATATCTTTACATGATTTGCATTTATGTACTTGGGATTACATTTCAGTTTGATGGGAGCCTGGAGCGTCTAGCTAAGGAATCTGACCTTCTTCGACAAGCCTATGGTCACTTCTTTGACCTCACCATTGTCAATAATGACATTGAAGAAACAATTGCCGTACTGGAGAAAGCTATAGAACGAGTGCATACCACGCCTCAGTGGATTCCTGTGTCCTGGGTCTACTGACAGAAAGTACCGCCGGGCTCCACGGCTTCATTCAGATAGGGAGTGACAGTAAGACACGTACCATCTATGGAAGGAAGGGGGTGTACCATCTCAGTGGATCAGTGTGTTGTAGGAAGATTGCTGTATTCTGGGTTGTTGCGCCGTGTGGCCTGGTAGATGTCCACCAACGTTTCAGAGGTCACGCTGCCTCCGTCATCAGGGCGATGGTGAGCGTCTACTGGACTACACGGTGCAACAACCCAGGAGACAGCAATCTTCAGACTCACCGCTGTGAAAACCTCAATTCATACAGTGTGTTGTAGGTTTCCAGCGGAAGACAATGCTTTGTTCGTATAGCACGTATGGGGAGAAACTTACACCATCAAGCACGTGTTCATTGCTTTCTTTTATGAATGCTCCCTGTCACGACATAGCTGGCAACTGAGGAACTTTGTATCCATCCCTCCTGATGGAAATCTACTGCCAGAACCTCTTACTAGCCAGCGTCTGTGTGTTGATTGATAGACTCAGAAGAGTAGGGTAAACATTTGATGTCAGAAAATACGGTTCTATTACGTAAACTTTGCCTTAATCTGCACTTCAAACTCCAGTTGTGTCCTGGCTATTGTACATATAGGTACAAGAATTTAATATAAACATGTTGGATCTTTACTTTTAAATCCTACATGAAAACAGATTGACCTTCAATAATAAAATGTCAATTTTGATCTTTATTATCACCATCATGGTCCAAGTCCCATTTATAGCTTGTCAGTATTGCAACCAGCCATGTGTCTACGTACGGTTTGTGTAAGTGGAAGAACGACAGAAGAGAGACGTTGATTGATAACACTAGTGGGTTTGCCGCTGTCAGTAACAAGATACAGGGATTGGCTATTGCACGAGTGCACAGTACATCATGGGAAGTAAGTAAATCTGTAAATTTTATTGCACAACGACCACAAAGTACACATTCAAAGAATTCTGCGTGGGTTTGATAGAGAGAATTGAACTTTGGGGAAGTGAATTTTTAGTTACAAACTGCACAAGTGGGCTGGCCCAACACTGAAATCACGTTAGTGCTGCGGACTAAAATAATTACTTGTAATGCGAAAGGAACTTAATTTTGAGCAAGTTGACTTCGTGACAAGCTGTGCAGCATGGTACATTTGAGTCATTGGGTCATCAGTGATGTTGGCTGTGAGCTGAGTGTTAATAGGTTGCTTCTTCAAGAAAGATAAACCAGTAGCAAAACCACATGTAATAGTGAAGTGTAGTTTGTTATAGAGGAAGCCAGTTATGATTCATGGATACTGTAGTAGTGTGTTTTGTGAAATGGTTAAAATGACAAATAAATATGATTTAAAATCAAAGTTAAAATAAAGAATAAGTGAACTGATATGAAGATGCTAGGAGTATTCATAATGATTTACATCTCTTGATAACTTCCAATAATAACACAATAAAGTGAGTATTCCTACTTATTCTAATTAATAAACATTAAAATAGCTCCGAATAAATAGAATTAGCGAACATAGGTAATGAATCAAGAGACATGTCAGTGACTTAGTCATACATAAAAGAGCAAAAAACATAATAAATTTATATGTGCGAATCTGTGTACAGTTTATGTATTATCCTGCATTACATGGTTAATTCAGGTTACAAGTGGTTTTATACATGCTCCAGTGATGTCAACCATTAGATAACAGCTGGCATCTAGAATATTAGAATATATATAATGGAGTCAGTGTTTGATTTTATTTATTTTTTTTTCCCTCATGCATCATACACTTTGTCTATTTCTTCTGACTACTAGAATTAATTACTGAGCAGCGCTGAAGTGACTTAACGATGCAGTGGCTTGGAGTAATGCATTTGCAAGTTACTGAAGTGTTAAGAAGACTGAGCTGTACAGTTACATATCAGGGGCTGAAATAATTAACTTAAAGTGTGAAATCATGAATGTGCTATATTGTTGTTTGGATACCGGCGCTTGTTCCGAGTGCCTGTGGGTACATCCAGAAGTCACAGTTAAATAAGTATCTTCTGGGAGTACCTGTTTGTTACCATGTATTTGTTTGAAAACCTGGTAACTTCCTCTTTCCAACTGAAATACATTTAAAATAATTCACAATTGTCTAATTTTCTTCTGGTCAGTCATTTCATGGATACTGCTGTATCTTTTTAAGTTTCATGAAATACTTGGTGATACACCATCAAATTCTAAAATTAAGGCACTTTTTGAATAGTTATTATTTTGTATGTGATATTGGCAGCTTATGCACTTCAAATATTGCTTCAGATAATTACTGCTTCCATTCTCACAATTTTTATTTCTTTAAGGCTCAGTTGTTGATGAACCATACTAATTATATCGCATGTAGCAAAAACACCACTGTCTCAAAATTTATCTGCCTGAGCATATGATGTTATTTAGCTAACACTGTATGATGCAAGTACAGTAAGACATCTTGGTAAATTGAACTTGATTTGGAAAGTTACTTTTTATGTAGTTGTGTTTCCTACCAGTCACAGAGTAGTAACTGACATATTTTATATTTAAATATAATATTTTTGCTTCCCACGAAGTAAGTGATAGTGTAAATGAACACTGTTAACTAACTCGACTAGACAGGAATGTTCACATAATGTAGTAGATACTTTAAAAAAACACTGCATTTCCATTTCACTTGGAAAGAATGGTGTTTATTTATATATTTTCCACAACATTAACAGAACATGTCCCCAAATATCACTGCAGTTTCTGATCACAGAGAGGGGAAGTTGGTTGATAGTCAAAACAAATATATTTAGTAATGTAAATGCAGTCTATAGGCCTACTCTTTGCAATAAATTTTAATTAGAAAGATGTCAGTGGGTGCAACTAAATATCAGTTGATTCATATTCATTTTTGTTTGAGAACTTTATTGTACCATATATTCATAACATGTTGTTCAATGACAGAAAAGTTAATTCTTAATTGAAAATAATTTTCCTTATTTCTGTCTGTATTATGGGGACTCAGAAATAAGGAGTATCGTAGAAATAATGTAGGAATATTTATTCTGTTTCGAGACTGGGGAACTGTTACAAACACACCTTTGTAGTAGTGCAATTCCAGTAATATTTTCTGGTATTCGTGGTAACAGCATTTGTAATAAAAGATGAAGGAAGGAATTATAATACTGCACTTTGGGAATTTCATTCTGTAAATTTCTGGACTGACATCGTATTTTGAAATGAAGTCTGTGACAGAACCCATAATAAAGACAAAACAAAGGACTGACACTTATTTGTTGTATAAAATCTGTGACAAAGTTTTGAAATATTACAGTATGGTGATTAATGACTGAAAATGGGACTATGTACACTTGATGACTTTCAGTTATTGCTTAGTTATGAAGACTTTCCTTTCATTTGTAGTCGCATTTAAAATGGCAACTCATTAAAACTTAATTTTACATTTCTTATGAAAAACAGGTGGTATTATTAACATAATAATACTTTTAAAAACCAGAATACTTATTATTTTATTTATCCATGCTGTTTATTTTGAATGTAATTGTGAAATGGATGAGCACAGTCCAGTTTAATCTGCAAAATATTGTGAATATGCTATCATAAATGTTGTAGGATATGGGATGTTTTGTGCACAAGATTTAAATAGGAGCATGGGGTAAAATGAAAGAAACTATTTCTCTTAACCTTTATTGGTCATGCATCATGCAACCTCCAGTTAGTCTGCCCAGCAGCCCTCTAGTACAAGGGTTTAAATTCCCAAATTCCATATGATATAGATGAAGAAATTAAAGTAGCATAACTAAAACAAATGTGATTCTTTTGATAAAAAAGCATTCACAAAATATTTTAGGCCTGCCCAATTCCACATTTTGCCAAATGTGAGACAGGCATTTTAACCTGGACGTACTGTACTTACAATACAGAATATAGAAATGTGTGATAAAAATAACTCTTCATATTGAATGACTGTATGAACTTTATTTGCATTACTCGAGATGACGACAAACAGTTACAGGTGGGGATGAAGTAAAACACAGAATGCGTGCTTGTGTTTAGAAATGAAATAGGTGTTTGCAGACTGAACAAGATATGTACTACATTTGTTGAAAATTAAGAATGCCAAATTTTATATCACAAGTTATATGGGTGAATATTGTTTTTAACAATTTTATTTGTGATTTCTTTATCATATGGGAATAGGATTTAAATATTTGTATTACAGGGCTGCCAGCTGAACCATACTTAACCTGCCTTGCATGATAATCATTTATCTTGAAGAAGTTAGTTTATTTTCAGTAATTACACTTTATTTTTACTGTTTCATGTTACATAGTCAACTCCAGATATGAACAGTTTGTGCTTGTAGGTATTGTTGTTATGTAATACATAAAACAGTCATTATTTATTTTGTTTGCAAAACTTTTGTGAGGGAAAATTTCTGTGCAGAGTTATAAAGTCAGTAAGTAAATTCATTAACAATTACATTTGTTCATTGGAACTGATTATCGCCAATGCTCATCGCGTTTGGTTGTTCTGAAAGCCTTCAAGTGTAAGGAGTGCTTACGCTGTCTGTAGAAAATAATGTGGTGATATGGAATGCAAATAATCGTTTTATTTTGAGGTATGAGTTAAGTTGAAATGCCAGATTGAACTTACAAATATTTCTTCAAGAATAAACAGTAATTTGGCCTGGATAACAAATATTTATCTAATTTACATGCATTCCAAATTTTGTAACAAAACAATCTACTTGGGCTAACAGTAAGAATGTGTGTAATTTCCCCTCATTGTAAAAGCTTATACTTACAGTATCTTTCTATGTGAACAGCAATCTTAATGCTATTTACACTATTTAGAATTTGGATTACATATTTCTCATAATGTTGTTCAGAAAGCTTCGGTGACTCTTTTTCAAGTCACATCAGTGTTATTGTACTCATTAGTTCTTTAAAGACATGGAGGGATATTCATCATGGAAATTGACTATTGCATTTTACATACATAAGCTACAGACTGGATGACCAGGGTTCGTTCTCTGACGGGCAGAGGATTTCTCCTCTAGCCTCTGCGTCCATACTGGCTCTGGGGCCCACCCAGCCTCCTATCTAATGGGTACCAGGGGGAGGGGAGGGAAAGCACAACCAGGGCATGACGCTGACCACTCACCCCCGTCTAGTGCCGAGATTAAGAATGAATAGGAGTTATACCGCCTCTTCCCCCAAGCACCTACATGGAGTAAAGCGGGACAGCTTTACATTTTTTTTACTTCCTTTATAAATAAGCTACGGTACTTTGTGAAGCATGTCGAGATACTTTCGACAGTGAATTTCTTTCAAGCCACAAACACTGTTTCTTGGAATTAAATTTTGTGACAGTAATAAATTATATGAAATTCATTGACAAACTTTCTCATCCCCAGTGCATGCTTTAAGAAAACAGAAGAATATTCACTAGGTAATTCCTTTTTGACTGTTGATCTTTGAAACATGTTATTTGGGACTATAATCTCTTGGAATTAATTAAATTACACAGTAATCACTGCAGTCTCTTTATGAGAATTTTTTTTTCTTACAAAATGTTCCATTATTTACTTATTACAGCCTCGTTCATGGACACGTATATATGAACATAATTTAAAAAACACCTATCAGACTCAATAGTAGGCCTATACTTCTCTGTTTAAATCTTGAGGTTTTCTTCATGATTGCAATACATGTAAATGTTAACTCTCTGACAGTATCATACATATAAAGTATTTCATTACTCCTAAATATTTATTGTAATTTTGATTGAAAACCAACTTGACTTAAATTTCAGCACTCTCATGAATATCTTATTTTGTGTTGAGTTCCATATAAAATTAAATGAAAGTGTAAAGTCATAAATGCAACCTGTTTCGTTATTAAATAGTTTGCGTTGATAGTGAAGGAAAAAGAGTCACAACTGACTTTTGATGCATCTTTACTCTAAATTTATTATTCTTGTCAGGGTTGAGCTTTTAAATAACTAAGTACTTAAATAATATCTGTTAGCCTTTCAGTAAGTTCTGTTTGGTATGGATATACAATTGAGGTATGTAGTGTTAATTTAGATTTAGATGTATAGCTGAATCTTTGCTGTCATACAACCCATACACTGGCTCCAGTCGGGTAAGCTCTTTGTTGGGATGGAAATTAAATATGATTGATAACAAATGTACGACTAGTTTTATATTTACGTCTCCTTTGTCATTTCTTCCCCGACAAGCCTAACACTCGATATGAGGTTCCTTTATACTGTTTTATTACGTAGCAGCTTTAAGTTTTGTAATAGGAGCCATATTCTGTACGCTTCTGCCAGTATCTTTACAGTTGTTTGAAATATGTCATATGGTAATTGCGTTGTTCTTATTTCAGATCCTTACCAAGGAAAGTATAGCAACTACTAACAAAATTTTTTACTTTCTTTGAAAGTGGATTTGAGTGCACATCTGATTGATACTGTCTTCATTCCGTGATACTACAAACTGCCACTGAGTGAGCTGCCTTCTAGAAATTCACTGTGCCACTCTTTCAGAACAGATAATGTTGTCCATCCAGACACTCAGCCGTCCATGGTGCATGGCAAGTGTTTTTCCAGGCTTGTGAGGCCATTAGCAGTTTTATTTTGGTCTACAAGCAACCAAAGTTACACCGCTGCTTACTGACTGTTTCATTTATTTGTCTTCTTAATTATTACAGCACTGGACCTCATACAGTCACAAAATTCACTTGAAAGGCAAAACCATAAACTTTGAAATGTTCCATATTGGGTGAGATTTCAGGTTGTGACAGTAGCAAGTATGAAGACAACCATCTTCTGGGATGCTGTGCTGTGTACTCTTGCAGAAACTTACCAATGTTTTAGAGATGCATACTGTTTACATTGCCTTGCAAGATCCCAGAAGACATTTAGGTATTAATCAGCTTTTGCAATAGCATAGTTCTCAGAAGGCCTGGTTTGCTTTGGCAAACCAGGCCTTCTGAGAAAATACAGACTGTCTTCCTTTCGGAAGACAGTCTGTATTTTACCATAGAATAATAATGCATTTTTTCACTTATGCTCAGTTCCATATCAGATGTTGGATAAACCTACTATCTGCAAAGGCTTCACACTGATATTCACAAATTTCAGTAACTGTGAATATTAATGAAACTTAATACAAATATAAGAATACATAACTGCAAAATTAACTTTTTCTTATGCTTCCTGGATACTTTTAACAAATCAATAGTCAACAGTAAGAAGTTGATATAGTTTAGGAGCCTTTTTCAAGAGAAATCCTTGCACATTTAATGTGGACAAGAAACCATAAAAGTCTGAAACTTTAATTCTAGCTAACTCAGCCACTTCTTTCAGTTCTTGGACAGAAAACACTGAACGGGACTGTGCATTGGCACGTTGTTGTAATGCGGTGATAAACCTCTTTCCTTGATTTCTGCTAGACATACCTGAACCATTTTGTGAACGCTGAAAATCAACACAACCAAAACCATCACTGAGTGTGTCCACCAAGCTGTATTTCATAATCTCTACTATATCTTGTGCATCCTTCTCTGTAGCTTCTTCTCGTAGCTCCAGCTTAGCTCTTGCTTCGGTAAGACGGATTAGAGATTCTAGCTGACGAGTAGTGATGGGTGTGCAGTCATTTGATTGATGCTGACGGCGCAGATCTAAATAAAACTTCTGCAAGACGCTGGCAGCCGGTGGAGTCAGTCGAGACCGCACATATTTCCTAGCGTACATGAGGTATTTACGAAAAAGCTGGTGAGGTAAGAAATCCATGGTTTCGCCAGGGCGCAACTTGAGCCATTCATATAGAGGACGTTCAGTTTCTTCACCACCGCAGTCTGACGCGGTGCCCGACTGTTGCCGCGCCTCTCCCCTCCGCCTGAAGCCAGAATGTAACGCCATCACATGCTCTGATAAGAGGCTATCCAGTTGTTCATTTGGTTGATCTAGTAATATAAACACCAAATCAAACCGGGACAGAAGTGCTGGACCCATTCGCAGATTCTCGGACACTGTTTTAGCACGATTGTAGTGGCCACCAGTTGGATTGGCAGCGGCTAATATGGAGGTTCTCGCTGGTAGAGAGCATACTACACCAGCCTTAGCAATACTGATACTCTGCTGCTCCATGGCTTCTAGTAATGCCTGGTGTTGGTTTGTCATCTTATCAAATTCATCTATGCAGCAACAGCCTTGGTCAGCCAGAACTAGAGCACCAGCTTCAAGGGTGTAATTGCCACCAGCTTCTCTTGTAAGTGTAACTGTGAGACCTGTTATGGTGCTGGTGTTACCACATACATACACTCCCCTTGGAGCAATACTGGCACATGCCTGAAGCATCTGTGACTTCCCTAGACCAGGATCACCCACCACTAGAACGTGCGGGTCTGATCGCCCATCTGTATGATGTAATGTGCCTCCAAACAGAGCTAGCAGAAGTCCAGCCTTTACCGTTTCATGTCCATATATCGTTGGACACAACGAATTTACCAAGAATCTGAAGAGATCTGGCTGAGAGTGGATCTCCTGAATAGCGTAGTAATCTTTTATGTTGAATTCAATCCCCGTACCTTTAGTGCAGCCTGTGTGACTTTCATTCTTGCTGTTCACAACTGAAACAGCTTCAATATACATGTCAAACATATTTGTGACTTTCTTTTTATTGTATTCCTCCCCGTTCCGAACCTTGACAATTCCAGTAATTGTGACTACATCTCCAGGGATACAAGAATCTAGTAAATCTTCTGTAAGTTCACATTCAACGGTGCGTGGCACCCGTCCACCCTCACGCTGATCATCAGAAACTATCTCTTGCAGTCTAACTGACTGCCAATTAATTGTCTGAGTGAACGGGGAAGTATGGAGTGGGGTGAAAGATTTGGCACGACAGCCTTCAGTGATACACTTAGTTGGCTGTGTGAAGCAGCCTTCAGGCTGCTTCACACATTGCAGTGCAAGACATGTATTACATTGAAAAGCCATCCAGACACACAATAATTTAATATTTCCAACCCGAATTATTGTGCCACGTACAGAGACAAGTTTTCCAAAATATACAGCCTTCAGATTCTTTAATTGTGTTATAGGCTCAAAATTCATAATTCGAGCTCTGACACTGGGTAAAACTATGGGGGGCACTACTTCTTCATCCTGTAGTTGCGACTTCACTTCACTCTGCAATGCTGATAAAACTACTTGATGCATTGCTAATCCCAAGCAATTTATAGTCTGTTCAGGACATTCACTTAAGTCTTCCTCAAAAGTTGCCCATTCTGAAGTGAAATCATTATCACTCTTTAGATTTTTGAGGTCAATAGAGAAAGATCTTCTTTCCTCTACAACAGAGTATGAATACACGGAACTGTTCCTGTTAATGAATTTTTCCATTGCTTGCACTTTATTAACAGTTGTTGAACCTTCTTTGTATGCTTCCTGTGGAAAATATAACTTCCAGCCTTCATAAGGGCTAGGTATGTTTTGGAAAAAATCAATTATTTGTGGCTGACTGTTTTGAGATAAGGAAGATGGTATAATTGATCTGTTGGACAACGTATGCATATTAGTATGCCTATTTGAAGTCTGTTCATGAGACTTTTTATCTGTTGGACAACGTATGCATATTAGTACGCCTATTTGAAGTCTGTTCACGAGACTTTTTGTTGAACCAATTCCACCTTCCTCGAAACCCCTTGCCTCTTCCTTGTGATTGTGAGCCATCTCTGCCTCGAGGATGCCTGAAACCTCTTCCTTGTGATTGCCAGTCACCTCTGCCTCGAGCTTGACCAGTACCTCTTCCTTCTGAATTTGAAATTCCTCTGTTCATTTTAGTTCTTGTACCTTAAAATGTGGAAAATAAAAGTTGTTGTTTGTTATAGGTTAAAGTTACTAAATAGTTTTCATTGCTCTAATACTAGATGAAGTGAACGTACTAAAAAAAGTTCCACATATCGACTACGTCTTTACATCGACAAACTAAACTTGCTGATTTATTAAGACATCGATTTCACAAACACTAAAAAAAGGGGGAAAAGATCCATAGAATTCTAAATGATTTTAACTTTTGAGAGCAAAAATGCATCATATTAAATTAAATATACTGTACTGTTTTAAAAGTTCACATCTTTTCGTTATTTCTAGATGAAAAATGGCTCATTTGCAAAATATTTTGAGTAACTTAATTTACATTTCATAACTCAATAAAGCGCGGTTTTCCACCATTCCCACAGGAATACCAACATTCCTAATTTCTCAAACACAGCAAAGTGAGTGCGGAGCATTTTCTTCACAAACCGTTGCAGATCGGACCCACGATTATTTGAACTTTTCGACTCAAAATGATCCCAAAGGCACGTAGTGTGTTTATATACATATATGTTATCGTAAGCTCGAATGTTGGTGAAACTTAGGATTTACCAGACAAACCTGAATTTTACATGTAACTCTTAAGTAATCTGATGATCTCAAATAGTACTTCTCCATTAACCAAACATAAATATTCGCTGAAACAGAGTTGTACAATATTTGTGTAGGCAACAGTTTCTAATCGAAACCTCTGAACTCTTTCAACTACTATCTTTTATATGGAATATATGCATCCAAGTTCATCCATAATGAACCTTTTTGTTGTGCACGGGTGCTAACACGAGACGAGCAGACAGAAGAATTTCCGTCTGTTACTTTAGTTACCATAGGTTATGAAGTAGAACGAATGAGTTTTAATTTTGTCTGTGGCTGCAATCGATATCTGTTTGTGACGAAAGTTTTGTAGTATACAGTGGTGTTATCGTAAGGTTGTCGTGTGTTTGAAGTAAGATGGGGCATATCTGAATAGAAATAACCTGTTCATAATTCGCGTGCTTGTTTTTCCGCCGAATTTATAAATGCATTTGTTAAAAGTTGGTTCTAAGCTGGGTTAATTAATAATGAATTTAAATGTTTGAATGATGTAGTCTAGCATATTCCCATTGATTTTTTGTTTACATGCACAATATTTGTAACCTATCCCTAACATTTAAAATGCCAGATAAGTTATTACTTATGGTGAATAATGGTTTGAAGGTGGTGGAAATGTATACGTGGCTGTTGGATTCATATGTTCTGGTAAGTGGTTAAATATTTAGTTCTTTAATTTCGTAAGTGGTCGTTAGTTGTTGACAGTTTGTCCATACAACGACTTTTTATTATAGTTTCAATGTTTATTAAAATCCACAACATGTTTCGGCTTTGATTGATTGTCTCTTTATTTGTATTAAACCAGTACATATGACTGCTAAATTGTATACATATTTTCTGTTGCTTACTTCACCGTATACTGGACTGTGTGTTACACAGCTTACCTATTTAAGCAGAGTGGACTATGTAGATGTAGTTACTGGTGGAAAGCTGCAATTTAACATAACTATAGTCCATTACAAGATGAAGTGAGTAACAGACAATAAGTTTTCAATTTGGTCGTCATATCTATTAACAATTAAATAGAACCACCTGAAGATGACCAATTAAGGTCAAAACATATTGTGGATTTTCGTAGTTATTAAACTATAATAAAAAGTTGTTGTGTAGACAGCCTGTCAACAATAAATTATAAAGATCAATGTTAGTCATAACATATTCAATCTGCATGGTTTATTGTTGATTGTGACACTACAGGCCAACACTTTTGTTATTAAAGAAACTGTTTTGTTATAGAAAAGAAATGGATTACCAACTGTTTTCTTCTGCCCATTTTAGGTCACAGATAGATGATTTGTTTGTTGTGATAACATCTTGGTTGATATCATAGTTGGAATATCGTGTGTCCATCAAGATGGCTGTCTTCTTTGTGAAGTTAATGTTGAATTTGTTGTTCTCTTATTGGGGTTATGATGGTTATGTGCAATCCATATCAACCCAACACAGCTTAGGTGCAAATGTCTTCAATTCTAATTCAATTTGGTAACCTAGTTGGGTCTGCAAAATAAGTGATAAATATTGTGTTTTGCCTTCTTATATCAGTCAGTTTCAGAGGTAACGTTCAAATTTTTCAAAATTTTAAATAACAAATGCTGTAACCCTGGACATAATAAGCATTTTCACACAACTCATGGATTCTTATTGTGTATTTGACTTATGCCTCTTTGGATGACCCTGAATTTCTTTTTACCTTGGCCTTTGAACTGATCTTAATTTACCGAAATAAAACTTATTGCCAGATTTCTTTAACCATTATCGACAATGCAGTGCATTTAATATAAGTCATGTACAGTTGGCCATGTTTCATACTAGCATACCGCTCAGTTATTTTATCATAGTTCTGCTAGTTTATAAATCCCAATTTTTTTATCATTCTGCCCACATCTATGCTGCTTTGTTTTGCCATTCTCTTTTCCAGTGCTGTATTGTTTCAGGACTATTTCACTGATTGTCACTGGAATAAGCTTCCACTCAGTTGGAGGAGAGCATTTGATACTGTTGAGCCCCAAGAACTTGGACAATTTTTAACACAGAATAGCACCTTCAAAAGGTATCAATTTATATATTTCTGAATTTTAATTTTTATTTTTTTTAAAGCTGATCACGCTTGTTATGTATCAAAGGGTTTGAGGTTTGTATTCAGGACTGGGTAAGGGTAACTTCCCTCCTGACTCTCCCCAGACCTATCCAATTATAACCTGCTATTCCTTCGGATAGATATTTCTGTATTCAGTATTTAAGCAAAACAAAAGAAACATATGAAGTAGTTCTGACAATAAAATTTACATGAAAGAGAAATTAGATTCATTTCAGTTAGCTCCTGCAATGTTTTAATGCCTGGCTGATTAAAGGAATTCTCTGCTTAGTCATACAATAGTGTGCCATGCAGCATCTTGACATTTTGGAAGTTCTCACGAACTAGTTCACTAGTTGTGCAGTTTGACAGTGTGATGGACCTGTCTGTCTGAGAAGTATGTTATTCGGTGATTCTCAGCAAAAGAGAATATTCTAAATTTCTTTCTGCCACTTAGATACTTTAATATTATCCCTTGAAACTACAAATTATGATCTCCTGAAACTTGTAATAGTTCTGTCGATTTGCTATTCATGCCCTTAGTTTTAATACAGTTACATTCAAAATGCCAACTGATTGGTTATTTTGTCTGCATCATCACTTCCTATAAATAATTAATACATGACAAAATGTGTAAACTCTGGTTTTTCTCGTTGTCCTGTTGCGTCTCAGTGGATCTACCCCAGGCCTGTGTGTTATGGTTTGTGGTTCACCTTGCATTAAGTGCACTGTGGTAAACTCTTCCTGAAATGCGTTGTGGAATTTTCCAATACTCTTTTCATAGCTTATGCAATACACAAGACTAATACATATCAGTTCACATTGATACATAGTGGACACACACACACGTGGACCTTAGAGGGTGAATTATCAGGAGGTGGGAGAAAGTTGCTTAATGAGGAGCTTTGTAAGTTGTACTCCTCGCCAAATATAATTAGACTGATCAAGTCAAGGAGGATGAAATGGGCAGGGCATGTAGACTGCATGGGAGAGAAGAGAAGCGAAATGCATACAGGGTTTTGGTTGGAAATCCAGAAGGAAAGAGACAACTGGGAAGACCTAGACATAGGTGGATGATAATATTAAAATGGATCTTAGAGAAACAGAATGGGTGGCTCAGGTTAGAGACCAGTGATAGGCTCTTATGAATATGGTAATGAACCTTTGGGTTCCATTAGCTGTCTTTATGTTATGATTTTGCCCTGCATTCTGGTGACGAGACATCAACAAATACTAAACTTCAGATGTTTCTATACTTTGTTTTCTCTGTGTTTACTTCGAGACCAACCTCCTTACATTGTTCTGATTATCTCTGTTTATTTGGCTTGGATCCTGTGACCTTTACAGGTTGGTTTGTTTGCTTTGATCTAATAGTTTTAAACATTCTGAATTAAGAATCTACACAGAATACTTGCATTTTGAAAGTTTCTGCCTCGGATGTAAGCAGAACACTACTTTCTATATGTCGTTGTACTTATACTGTATTTTCCTCAATTAAAAAACAAACATTGTATCCATTTTTACAGCTGCCATAGGGTGTGGCCTTTGTCATTTCTGGCGCTTTATACAACTTCATTGCATTTGTCTATACCACGTGAACAGATCCACTTTGAAGATCTTCTGAAGGGACAAAAACAATTTGACGACGGAAGTAGTTCATTAGAGGAACCAAATTTAATTTATCGAGATGTGACCTTCAACAGGAAGTCTTCAGTAGCATGCGCACAGATGCCAGGCCTTAAACATCCCAAACTCCAATATGCGTTCAGAAAACATGTGAAGCCCAAAAAACAGCATGAAATATCAAGAATGGCTCAGGTATGAGAAGAATTGTGGATAAAATGTCTCATGGTTCAGTAGATTGATAAAGACGTGACGTATACATATACCGGTCTAAAGAGGCATTGGATGTGTTTTGACAGAAAGTAATATCTGGTCTGACTTTTGTAATAGAACATTTTCATTTTGTTCATCTATGTGTACATGGAATTTATGTCCAGAGTGTAGAAACTGAACGTCATATTTTAGTGGTTAGCTCTCCTGTTTCGGATTCTGGCTATCCTGACTGTTTTCTTTTTGTGGTTTTCCTCACTCCCTCCGGGCAGATGCCAGGATAGTACCTCAAATTATGCAATGAATGCTTCCTTCTACATCCTTTCCAATTCATTACTCACTATCATCCTCTCATCTGTTATGCTTGTGATCTAGATACTGAAAGCATCATGAAACAACTATAAATAAATACATGAATAAAACAAGTGTAGACATAACTGATTGAAGGCCTTTATTAGTGTCTTGGTAGTTCAGACCATCTGATTTTGTAGTATAAATACAATCACTGGCTCCTCTGATTAGTGGACAGCCTTTTGTTACCTGCTGGACAGTAAAGATTAGTGATTGTGTGCATGCTAATAATAACAGTTTATCAGAACTACCTTAAAAATTAACAGTTCGTAAATCGGTGCAAGCGGTGATATTTTTCGAAGGCACACGTACTGTTTCAAATGTCAGCCTGGAGGTATATGGTGGTGATGGAACTGTTAAGTGCTGGCCAGACTGCATGCTCTAGAGTGGCCTGTACGTAAACCTTTGCGTACTTTACTGGTTGCCCTTGAATTGTATTATTCCACATTAATGAGCATTGCATTGTGTGCTTTTACTGAAGTGAGTGTGTACAACTGTAGGCACTGTTCACATCGCGTCTTGTTTTTTGATGGATATCTTTGTTGTACCGCCACGGTGGTCTAGCGGTTAGAACGCTGGCCTTGTAATCCTGGGGTCTCAGGTTTGATTCCTGGCGGTGCCTGAATTTATAACTTGTGTTGGGCAAGGCCGTGGTCTAGGCAACCCGGAGTTTTCCTCCGTGGCATCCCAACAATTACTTCATTCACACACAGAAGAAGGCAATGGCAAACCACTTCTGGATCATCTGCCAAGAACGTATATGAACAGGTCCCAGTCCGAGAAAAGGATGGAAGGATCCTGTTCATATGGACCTGTCCTCAGACAGAACACTACAAATAAAATCTTTGTTGTAGGTGACTGCAAGTGTAGCCCAGTCAGAAAGCTGCCATTACGTAGTGGACGTTGGTTCGGGCTTGGGCCATTTGGCAAGATTACTTGCATATGGTTATGGTTTAAAGGTCTGTTGTTTGGAGGCACAAGAAAACCTGTCCTCGCAAGCACGGTACATGAATTAGCATTTGACTATTTAATATAATGTTGAAGGTCCTTATACATATCTGTTGATTGGGCAGTTATTTAATGATGCTGTATTAAGAGCATGAAATATGTAGGGTCAAATTACTGGTAGTTGAGGGAAGTGAACTGAGGACTGGTTCTATTCCATCCTGAACCTAGACAGACTGTGATCAGTTTATGTTATCCACTCAGTCCAGTTGATACACTTGTTACATGCCGCATATAAAAATTTTCAGTATCAGCTGCGTAACATAAAATAGTAGGAACATTATTGTGTCAAAAGTTCGAGTTTTTTGAGGTTAGGTTTTGATTGTAAGATGACTGGTTGTTTTTTAAGCAGTTACGTTCTTCCAAAAATGGAGTATTCCAAATAGTAAGGGCAAACTTTCTAAGAGCACATTTTGAGGAAACGCTCTCTAATTTTTTTGAAGATATAAATCATAGTATCCGTCCCCAAAAGTGTATTTTTTATGAAGAATAGAGAAGGGAAGAAGAACGTGTGATGCGACATTTGGCCACTGCCTATTTCGTTGTTTCAAGAATATTGGAGGGAGGGTGAGTGTGTAACTTGCAAGGTGATTGGTCCCATTGCCTGTTTTGAGAATGTTGGTGGGTGGTGGTGAGCCCTAGTATGAGACTTTGCGTCTTCTATATGTTTCTGGTTATATTTTAATGAGTCAGCATAGTTTGTAAGGTTGGATACATTGGTACAATTTTTACAAAATTTTCTTTATAACACAATTTGATTTTAATCAATATGTTTTATAAGTATTCTTGAGTCTAGTACAATGATATTTATAGTGGTTAAGGTATGTGTGAGAGTGAAAGTCGACTAAGCTGTTTAAAATAATGAGTATTTATAATTAATAATTTGTAATAGTATTTACATAACAGGTTTCAGTTATTAGAATATTTTCCTAAGTAAATTTCTGTTTAAAGAACATTTCTTTATAGCAAAATTTATTGCAGCTTTAAATTTTTTTAAGAACTTCCTTAGTGTGCTTTTAAAGAATGAGAAACACTCTCATCTGTCTTTATGTTTAATGTAAATAATTTTTAATAGGAAAGGAAAGGTATACTGCAGTGGAATACATCATGAAAGGAACTCCCTTTCTTCTAGGGCTGCTTCTATTTCTGCATTCTAGTTGGTCACCCATTGTTTGTGGTGTAACCACAACCCAACTTGAAGTACTTCCACTGAAAAAATGGAGGTTGTATGTTTCTCTGGAATGTTGGTAACTATCAGCAAGACTGCAGGATGTAATAGCTTAAAACACCTCAAATTTCTTATAGAACATGGTTTTTGAAACTTATTACAATGAATATATATAAGTAAAACATTAATTTCTATTGATCATTGTCTTACATTGTTTGGCTTCATCTCTGTGTTTAATTTTCAGAAAGTTAGATATGGAATTAGAGGCGTCTGTGTCCAAGATTCTGAAAGATGATGGCTTTGAAGTGAATTGGCCAGTGCATTTGAGTATAGCGGTTGATTCACGTTTGACTGCTAGCAGCTTTACAGAGGTGAAGTATATGTATGTTTTACCTTTCTTAACATATGTTGTGATGTTTCATTTATGAAAGATGGATGTCGTATTATACCCATTCTTCTCTTATTTTCAGGCACTGAAAATTGCATTTGGCATTTCTGGAGAACATTTTACATTTGGTATGGTTGGGCTTCATCCATGTGGAGATTTAACACCAATATTAATGCACCTTTTTGTACAGTGTCCAAATGCAAAGTTTATTAATATTGTGGGATGTTGCTACATGAAGCTTACAACTGGAGTGTAAGTATTGTATCACTTGGATTTATTCCTTTCACTTTGAAGTACAAGCTTTCATTTCTATTGATATCGCTGCGTGTGGGAGTCTGAAGTGCCAAACAACAGCACAAAAAAGATCTTCTTTATAAATTACATTCATTGCTTTAATTCCATGGCTACTTAATCTGTAATATTCCTAGCAATGCCATTACATTGTACTTAAGTTGTCACTGGGTACTGTTCATAGCGTAAGCGCAAGGAACTAAAACAGTTCTCTCTCTCATACATGTGGAAGGTTTTAAAAATTTTCAGCTGAATGTTTTAGTTGTGTTTTATTCTTTTAGAGAGTACCTTTTTCCGATTTTAGTTTAAATGAAAATAATTGATCTATCGATCGATTGATTGTATGTGCATGTGGACATCTTAAGAAATGCTTAGTAATATTGTTTTAGTATTTCAGGATTCACTGGATACCCAATGAGTGATTTCATTTCTGCAAGACCGCATTCACTGAGTTACGAGGCTCGAGAAATTGCGTGCCATGCAATTGAAACTTACTGCCAACGTTTGTGTCTGGGCCAGTATGATGACTTAAAGGTGGGTGCTGTAATTTGTAATTTAAAGCTACATCAGCATTTCAAAAGGACTGAATTCATAATAGAAACTTCGGTCAATGGGACCGAATTGAGTGTGTACTGTCCCACAGGCATATGAAATCAAAATTAAATTATAGGCGTTAGCTATGTTGAAAACAATAAGATGTGAGTAAAAGCTGTCTCACTATGCGCCATGTAGGCACTTGGTGGGGAGAGGCGGTATAGCTCCAACTCTTTCTTGACCTCAGCACCAGATGGGGGTGAGTGGTCAGCATCATGCCGCGGTTGCTCTGGTGATAAACCTGAGCGCTAATGAAATATACTACAGACTAGGTCACATATATTTAGTTTGAATGAGTAAGAAGGGAGGTGAGAAATGCCAGTAGCACCTTCACTGAGGCTCATGAACAGAGATTATCTAAATGGAAAGATTTTGTTCTGCCATGGTCTGTGGTATCTTATTTTTGTATTGTCCTCATCAGGCACTACACAAAGGAATATTTATTGGTGCTGTGTACAGATTTCCTTCCCGTAATTAGCATGAGAAGTTAAAATTGTAATGTGATTTGTAGTGAAATTTACCTCACTCTTTGTTATCTGACTGCATATAGACAAAAGGGAGGAGCACTTGTAATTCAATTTAATGACCACACAGATGAAGACGGATTGAAAGCGCAAGATATTTAGCTTATAACTGTGAACCTTTCTGTAAAGTGGAAACATAGATTTTGTTGAGCTTGATTTCCATATTTGGAATATAAAAATAGCGTGCTTATGACACAAAATTTCTGTTACAGGTACACTGTTACCGTGCTGCTCTGGAAAAGATTCTGGTCAAATATTGGCCACATTTGCGACATACCATGATCAAGAGTATAAAACATACTAACAACATGACATTTACCCAGTAAGGACACAAAGTTATGGCAGACGCATTGCTTAATTAGTACATTTAGCTCTGTTACATCATCCAGTATCTCAACATTCGAACATATTCGTAAGAGGCAGAGGTACTGCTTATATAAGACGTTAGCCTGTTGCATGTTCCGGTATCTCAACATCTGACATATTTTGATGAATAGCCACTTACGGAAGCCATCAAGTGATGGATGCGAGGCATGATGCTGACCACTCATCCCCTCCTAGTGCTGAGGTCAAGAATGACTAGGAGCTATACGACTCTCCCCCAACTGCCTACTTGGCATATAGTGGGACAGCTTCACTTTACTTTATCAAGTGATGGATGATCTTTCTGCTTGGATGTTGATATAGGATGAACAACCCATCACCATATAAAAAATCAGTATTGGAATTAAACATAGTATTTGAAAATAATTAATAGAAAAATTAAGAGAATATTGCCAGGTGAGATTTGAGGTTCTTATGGTGATTAGTGTGAAGTTGGGTGTCTTCTGGAATGTAGCGTTGTTTAGTCTGGTACGTAGTTGCTGATATATCAGAGGAGCTTACTCATAGCACTGGTGATGGAGGCAATAAGCTCCTTTGAAACAAATTAATATCAACCATGCAACTTGGTGTTTCATCCCAGAAGACAGCCATCTTCAGAATATACACATGGAAGACCAAGAAGGATGTTAGGTAAGTAGTTTTTGAGGATGGCAGATGATACAAGAAACGTGATATAGTTCATAATGCCTTCACAGGTACATCACTTTGGCTTTCATAAACCTGGGGTTGGAAGTGCCAGTGGAAGATCTTGAATCTGAAGAGACGCAATTGGACTTATCACAGTGGAAACGGGTGGTGATTTTCTACACTCTGCGCCTAATATTAGCCCCTGTAGTGGAAACAGTTCTGTTACTTGATCGACTTCTCTATTTGCAGGAACTTGGTAAGAAAAGATTGTTAAGTCTTATGGGCTTTTACTTCGAATGGCACCTTCTGTACAAAGTCAAATTTTAAATTCGTGTCACCACACTGTGGTGTTATATAAAAACACTTCTTGTTTAAGAAGGCAGTGCGAGTAATAAATAGTTTACTTTATGAGATTTCAAGTTCTTGCAGTGACAAATATGAAAATGGTTGTCTTCTAGGATATAGTGTGTTTACATTTCCGAGGTGCATACTGCCTCCATCATCATGGTGATCACTAAGACATGTATAGAAAAGTTGAATTACACATAGGAGCAAGTCAGACATGGCAGAAGCCACATTGGACCACTGGGAGAGGGTGCAAGGATTTGAGTGAGGGGAGTCTGAGAAGGGAACCAGTGGGTGGAGGGGTGGGGACTCCAGCTTGGCAAAAGGGATGAGGGAGAGCTAGAAATATGGGAGTAGACAGAAAATAAAATATGTGGAATGAGGATAGGAAGAACAAAAATAAGGAAATGAAATAAAGGAGAAGAAGAAAATTATAGAGTAAATTAAAATATTTTTAAACTAAATAAGTGAATACTGAAGAAATTGGATATAATAACATGCTTTGAAGGGGAGAAACTGTCCTTATAAGGACTGGCAGGGGACGAGCAGGAAAGATGACAGAAAATCAAGGAAATTAATGCTAGAATAAACTGGGAAAGCTGAAGGGGTATAGATTAATTAAGTAGACTGAAAGAGTTGGGAGGTGTTGGAGAGAAGAAAAGGAAGTGGCTGGGGCCAGGAATTTAATTTGGAAAAGTGAAGTGGATAATGTCTTAAAATATATTACTAGGGCATCTCTTCCTTTAATAAATACGTTCAGTGCTAGAGTTACAGATGCATCCTTATTGGTAAGAATGTGTCCACATGTCAAAAACTTGGCAGTCAGTTTACAAAGTCAAAATTGTTTTGAGCTGGTAAATTTGACTGACGTAGTGGTTTTGGAGGCCTTCTACATTCTTCAAGGGGGTGGGTGAGAGACCACCCATGACTGGTTCAGGCCGAGGCCATCCTCTCTGTTCTTATTTTTAGGTAGTGGCTTGATCTCAGTGGTCTTCCTGATCATCTGCCCCATTTATCTGGATTGAGTAGATGTGATGCTGGTGTCGTGGAGTTGGTTTTAATGACCCAAGCTTATAATGTGCAAAGCCACGGCTGATTTATTTATCTCAGTGTGCCAAATGGATGTAATGCTGTTCTCTTTGATCATGATGTCAGTGGAAAGGCTATTCAGCTCAGTGTAGATGTCTTCATAGGGCATGCTGTACAGACCCAGTGTCTGTAGTCACAAGTCGCTCTTGACGGGCTGCAGGAAACTAGGAATTTGAAGGACTGCATGGGACTGTTATTGAGTATTGTTATTTTACTGTCAGTGATTGTCCTTGGCTTTAATTCAAATGAAATTCCTTCATTGATAAATCGTATTTTCATGTTAGGTGTTTGTTTCTCGTGTATTTACAGTCATTTATTCAGCTTTTATTTCCTTATAGTGGTATATTTTTTCCATTCTTTATTACATCTAAGTCACAGTAATTGAAATTTTTCTTCCATTTTAGGAATACGCAGTGATCTGATCCCAGTGTTTGATCCCAGTTTATCTCCAAGAAACAGTATTTTGATTGGAAGGAAATGATGATCACAAGTATATGGATTTAAATAATTGTCAATATATTTTAAATTGTTATATAATATTTATTGGCTGAAATATATTTTGGTGAATATGATATCATGTATATGTTTGAGTTGGACATAAAACGTTTGTAACCATTACAGTATCTCATGCATGTACAGATACAGAAAATGCAAGGAAAGTGGAAAGACCATCTTTGTCTTCTTAGAAATAATTTTGTTTCTGAAACAGAACTGATGTATTTGTGTCTTGTTTGTAGATAAGTAATATGTACTTGTCAGACTTAACAGACCACGAGTGTTAAGAGTAGTAATGTACAGTGTATTATTTATGTTTAATTAAAAGTAATTCTGATGGCTTAAACTCTTCAAACTACTGTATACTCCAAAGGAAACTGGGAATCTTCTTTGGCGGAAGGCCCGCCAACTTGATGTTTTGCCTGGACAGCAGCCTTCTAATACGGTTGAAAGTTGTTTTCACGTAGGGCAGGAAGGCGACCAAGGCAGGTCTCTCGGGGGGCGAAGCCACTCTTGCCTGTGGTTTGAGGGTGTGTTGAATCTGCCAGTCACTAGCCGTTCTGCCTGAAAATGGTTCTGAGTGAGTACAGTTTACCCTGCAGGCTTTCCTGGTCACAAAGAGATCTAGCCCTGTGCACCAGTGTGGAAAGTGCGGCTTGTTTGTTTGAAGGATGGTGGTGGGAATTGGAGTTGAGGTTAATGTGTGTGGGTTTGTGATGAGCCTTGTGGCCCAGTAAGTCATGAGGTTTTCGGTATATGTCAGTGTCCAGGAAGGGAAGATGGTCATCCTTTTCCGTCTCCATAGTCTGCTGAATGTTCTTTCTCATGGACACTGCAGATAGTCGAGGAACTCCCAC